TATATATATATATATACACATACATATATATATATATATGGAAAACATGACATTTTTTTTAAAGATTCTTTGATGCATAGAAAATGTAAAAAATAACATTATAACATTATATATGTCTTTGTTACTTTTGATCAATTTAATGCATAAGTATTCAAATTAGCGTGTCACATATGTAAAAAAAAAAAAACTTATGGTACCTATATATTATGCCTCCCAACCATTTTTAACTTGACACAGCATCTTAAAAACACAGTTCTAAAGACACGAGATGAGACACAAAAGCCAAAGACAACAATCAGAATGTGTATGCAATTTTTTTAAATAAACATACTATAATACTTTATTGCACAAAACAGTCACAGTCCTCAAATTTCTCACAGCAGGCGATTTAGAGCAAAAAAAAAAACGGTCTTGAAATTCATTCCTGTATGTGGTCAATGGGTTAAAGTGCTGTTTGGATGGATGCAGCAGTGATGCTTTAAAGGGCAATGCTTTAAACTTCACTGTATGAGTTGACAGTCTAACAGTACACTTAAGAGCATCACGCTGTCCGCATGTCAAAACCCTTTCTGAAAAGTTGCATCTTGGAATTTATCCCTTTAAAAAGCACAAAATAGTAAAGCGAAGACAGAAATTAGAAGCAAAATGTAGATTAACTAGCCCATCCCCACTCCGTACTGCCAAACTCAGTCTTACATCTCCTTACTCGACACTTACTTTTGACTTTCCCCCTCTCTCTGCCCTCCTCCTCCTCTTTTGTTTCCTCTGATCCTCTTAAGTGCTGCTGCAGAAACACTACAAGAAAGAAAAAAAGAAAGAACAAAGGTCATTATTACAATGAAATGGACGGAGAATCACACACAAAAAACGCCAATGAGCACATTTCCAATTCCGTGCCAGGCACTCAGATGAGGCTAGAGTCAATTATGCCTCGGCTTAGCCTATTCTGCAACCCGATTCAATTATTTAAATGCTAAATTTGCAATGAAACCTATGAGAGAATTAAAAAGGCATAATTTGGACCACAACTGATTGTGGGTTATTGCTTTAAACCACTGAATATTGACAATAAATGAACACAGTCAAGTACTGGGTGTGTTGTCAATGAGTGAGCAATACTGGAGGAACGATGACGGCTTGTCTGCGTTGCTTTTAATATCTGTGAATGTGTGTATATATGGGTTAAATCACATGCACAAGGAATTTTGATTGGACATGGCCTATTTTTTCTAACAGTGGGTGTTGGAAACAGGAAAGAACAACAAAGAAGCCTTCAGACACAGGCTGGATCAGGGCTATGCCAAAGTGAGTCTAAATAAAGCTCACAGTGTAACCGATATGGGGTAGAATTAAGAATGTCAAAAGTGCTGGAACCAAGTCGATACTAAAAGAAGAATTATCAGACTCAATTTGGTACCAGACTCTTTGTGGTCAAGCCATCTGTGAGGAAAAAATTGGTGTGTGGCTGTTACGAAAATTACAGTAATCTACAGCAAGAGCAGAACGGCCTGACTTAACCCAGAGAGAATGCGGTTTATAGACGAACAACATGATGAGGGTAAATGACAGACATGTTTCATTAGTGCTAACGTCACAGATGAAGAGTCCCTGAAGAGCCTTAAACACACTTACACACTCACACTCATTCCATGCATCAGCGGAAAAGCATTTATCCGTGTCTACAGAGGAACGATGACGGCTTGTCTGCGTTGCTTTTAATATCTGTGAATGTGTGTATATATGGGTTAAATCACATGCACAAGGAATTTTGATTGGACATGGCCTATTTTTTCTAACAGTGGGTGTTGGAAACAGGAAAGAACAACAAAGAAGCCTTCAGACACAGGCTGGATCAGGGCTATGCCAAAGTGAGTCTAAATAAAGCTCACAGTGTAACCGATATGGGGTAGAATTAAGAATGTCAAAAGTGCTGGAACCAAGTCGATACTAAAAGAAGAATTATCAGACTCAATTTGGTACCAGACTCTTTGTGGTCAAGCCATCTGTGAGGAAAAAATTGGTGTGTGGCTGTTACGAAAATTACAGTAATCTACAGCAAGAGCAGAACGGCCTGACTTAACCCAGAGAGAATGCGGACAACATGATGAGGGTAAATGACAGACATGATTCATTAGTGCTAACGTCACAGATGAAGAGTCCCTGAAGAGCCTTAAACACACTTACACTCACTCCATGCATCAGCGGAAAAGCATTTATCCGTGTCTACAGACTCACACACCTGTCTCTCTTCTCTCAGAGCGATCATTGCCTTAATAAGATGAGCTCACATATGGCAACTCCTCTGAATCTGTGACAAAGATCTGAATCAAATACTACCATAATGCATACGGTGTTGCCTAATATTCTTTTTATATTTATGCATTTATTTATAAATCACTAGACAATAATCCATGATAAACATGTTAGTGCCATCCATTATAACATCTTGAAAACAAAAATTACTTTGCCATTGTGGAAATATATATATACATTTTTTTAATTATTATTATTTTTTGTGATTATTTTTTTTTAATTAATGGAAATAAGACAAGCAGCAAACAAAAATGCTTATATACACAATGTGATTTCCAAATATTTTGTTCTGATAAACAAATACAATAGAACAAAGAAAATAAAACAACAGTAATTATCACAATGATGATAATATTATATAATTATATACTGTATATATATACCCATATAACACCCATAAATGAAAATACTGTCATCATTTTCTCACTCACAATTTTATTTATTTTTTTAAAGGTTCCATATTGTCAAAACTGAAATTTCCTGGCTTTTTTCATGATAACTGAGTTCTAGTTTACCTAGCTAACCTAGCTAGCTAACCACGAAACCAGATCGGCCGACCTGTAACGTTACACTCTCACTCAAAGGATGGACGATCACATCTAACATGTATAGTAAAGACAAACTCACCGTGTCTATCTAGTCATGATGAAGATGTATATACATTTCAATTCCAGAAGGAAACTATTTTTACAGCTACATTATTGTTCCAGCCACAATTAATCACAACAATGTATATACAATTACAAATGATTGTATATAAATCGTCAGTTTGTTGTTTTATACACATGCACACAGACATTATTTCATACACGACATAGTCGTGAGATGCAAGAAACATAGACATATGGCAAGAAATCTGTAGACGCGCCCATAACAACAAAAGACAATACTTTATTGAACCTTTTCTGATAAGAAGTGTGCGCTGCAAACACGAGCATTTTTGACGATCGTTTCTGTCCAGTCTGTTCGTTTAATCGCTTTAACCACAGCTGTCGTCAGTTTTTTGTCTGGCAGTGGCAGCAGATATGCGATCAAATTTCTAATTTGAGGCTGTATTACGTCGATTCTGGCACCCAACATCACAACAAGATGATATTTTAAGCTCCTTATGTAGCCGAATCTGCGTTGGTTTGAATGGGCCGCCTCCAGTTTCCCCTTTGTTTTGCTGCCTCCAGCTAGCACTGTGATGTCCGCTGACCCTAGTCACCTGTGGTTGGCCTGGCGTGTGTCACTCAGAAAACAACAGGCCAATCAGAAGAGAGGCTCATGAATATTAATTAGACAGGCCAAAATCTACCTGTTCTCAGCAGAGCTCCTGAGAAATGAGCTGTAAAAATATATTGAGATGGTTTTTGGTACTTATACCGCAAATATATATTCTTAAGGACATCAAAACCTCAAATAAAACTCCAGAAAGGTGTAAAATATGGGACCTTTAAATGTTGGTAACCAAACAGTTGACTTCCATAGTATGGAAAAAAAATACTATGGAAGTCAATGGCTACCATCAGCTGTTTGGTTACCAACATTCTTCAAATGATCTTCTATTGCGTTTCACTCATGAGGGTGAGCAAATGATGAGAGAATTTTCATTTTTGTGCGAACTATCCCTTTAATATTTATATTATTTAAATGTACTAGAACATCCACTCATTCTGTAAACTCAGTAAATTCACATGTTAGTTTGCTATTCTGAATATAATCTGTCTTCCAACATCATCCCATCAGAATCTGTGCATGTCCATTCATTCTGATGTCTTTCACATATGCCGAGGTTGCCCTGGGCTATTTGATGATTTCAGAGGCTCGGTGTCTGTCGAGAGTCAAAGGGATTTGGGTGTGGGCAGAGAGGTGGGCTTGAAACGTTAAGCTCTAGCTATTTCACTGCTGCCCCAATGTATGTTCTCATTCAGTGTGTTTCAGTGCGTGTATGTTGCCAGTCACCATAAGTTTTGGCTCCTTAGTGGACTCACCAATGAGAAGCAGATGTGTGTAGTCATGTTTCTGAATTCTGATCTCTTTCTGTCGCTTTCCTCCTCAATCACACACCCACATACATGTACATACAGGTTCATAGCCAAAAGGCAAGTCATTCTCTTTTACTCCAGCCAGTCTGCATGATCTGATCCAAGCATGCAGACAAAACACACAAAAACTTTTATCAACAAACTGCACAATGTCCATAAAGGGGTATTCCATAAACTTAGCGTTGAAGCATTTAGGAGCCAGCGAGCCAGAAAAAAAGCCTCTGTGAGGAACAAAGGCTGTCCGTAATCAGAGCTTTTAGGCGCAAGTTGTCCAAAACATTCAGAATTTTGTTCAAAACTTGTGAGGCGTGACGTGCCAGAACCCGAACATTTCTAAAAATATTTTCCCGAAGAAAGCGGAGGGCTGTTTCAGTAATCTGTCCCGCAGCTAGAGTCGGTCCGCTCCTGGCGCACAACACAACGCTGTTCCAACACAGTGAAAAACCCACCAAAAAACTGGCAAAAACTTCAAAACCTGCAGTTACCACTCATTAAACACACACACCGCAACCGCACAGCGCTGATCGACAGATGAAAGAAACGTCAGGGTCGAAAGTTAAAAATGCAGATCCTTTGCTGGCATTCCCTCATCCAAGCATCAATCCATCCAGAACTAGAGGGAGGAGAAGGAGGGTGACTTGTGCTGAATGAGGGTGAGCATGATGTGATGTTGGGAAAGATCTTTAGCCAGGATGGGCTCGGAGACTCGGCTGGGAAAGTTTACGGCTGGAAGTAATGAAGAACCCATACACACATACAAAGAGGCAAGACACACTGTCTGGAAGCAACCACAAGATGACCTTTATGATCAAGAACACACACGCACACAGATGTAGTCTGCAAACAATTGTAGACCACCAAACGCTCTTTATAAGCACACATATGCATAAAAACACACAACACAGATTTAAGGTTGACTCTGGAAACACTGATGGAACCACCACCATCTGTGATCTCACACACACACACACACACACACACACACACACAATGATTTGACAGAGAGGTGGGTGTGAGTGAGGACAAAATGGACAGGACAGCAGGAGGTAATGTTACAACTGACACCATCAACAATTACCACAATACTGCCAAACGCGAAACTCCAGTGTGATTGAGCTTAAGACCCTCACATTCAGGGCATTCCAGAGATTCTTCCAAACAGGACTTTGACCTATTCTGAGTGAACTTTGACCTTTCAGAGTATACAGTTACCGCTTTTCTATTTTTTTAAACACCCAAAATGATTTAATTCAGTATCTTTCTGAGGTGGCTTTCATTTCACTTATATATAAGTGTGTATATATATATAATTTTTTTTTGTTTGTTTAATTGTATATGTATCAGAAAGACAGGCAAATAGATATATTTTATAGTAATTAAATGAAAAAAATAATAGAAAATTATTTTTTATTCATTTCTTTATTGATTTATTTATTAAGTAAATGTGTATA